GGCGGGGCGGGCGCCGCAGAGGTTGGGCCCACACCGGCCGCCGCCCCTCAGCCCAAAGCTCGCCACAAAATGGTGGCGCCACGAACCTTCTGGAGGGCGGCGACGCGTCACAGCGTCACCGCGCGGGCGGGGCGGGACGGTTGTTTTAAATGGCGCAAGCGACAAAGCGGCAGTGCCGCTTCCCTCGCCTCCTCGGCGCTCCCAAAAAATCTGACCGCCTCCAAATGAACGGAGAAACACCACGTATTACTAATGATTTTCCGAAGTCTTTTTAAACCCCTAACATTTAAAACATGCGGAAATCATTTGTCATTGGGTGATCTTACAGTACCTTTCACTAGCTTTTAGTAACATTTTCAGGTCTCAACCCAACTACTTCTTACCAAAGAAACAAAGCCCCGGGAAAAAAAAAAAAAAAAAAAAGCGTCTCCTATGCCCAGAGAACAGAAAAGCCCACCCAGGAAACCTCTGCCCTGTCTGGGCAGTTGAAGCCAGCAGATACGGCCTGCCTCGTGAAAGGGCACCTTGGACCACCATTTCTCTCTCAATAGGAGTTGTAGAAACAGACTGTAGTATCATGTACTGCTTCAGCAAAGCTAACCAGGCCTCATGTCTGAAATGTGGCTCTCCTAAAAAAGCATTCAGTAAAAAGCAGTCAGCCATTTCATTTGGCATTCAAAATATAGGGCAGAGAGTGAAAGGATCTAAGGGTAAAACAAACAGGAAGCACAAGTGTGCACTCATCAACATTTTTTTTTTAATCATTCTTTTAATTTGGGCATGACTAAAATTCTGAAACTCTTCCATCTTTGAGAGACAACTCTAGCTTTTTACCTCGTCGTATTCTTTTGATTTCGCCAATTGACCCTGTGATCAACATGCAGCAGGTGCATTACTCATGGCAATCTACCCTGGTAACATACTGTTCTTTTTCTGTGTTGCCGCCCAGTACTTACACTCCACTAATACAGCTACAGTACTTAAACTAGTAATCCAAGTACCGTTCCTGACATACTTCTAACACTGTCTTTTCCTATCATTTTTCTAATGGCTTAAATGTCAGAGATTATCTAGAATATACATGATGATACCCTCCATCACAGACATAAGGCAAGATCATAGTGTCGCCACACACCAGCATATTTTTCCTTTGCACAGATGGATTTATCTTGACAAAACTCACCTTGTAGCTTGTAGAGCATTTGTCAAACAGCACTAGATTGATGGATTTAAACATAGCACTTAATAAAGCACAAATGAAGAATAATATTTTCGTTAGCATTTTTGCTATTTAAGGGCTTGTACATGTTACAGAGCTCCGAACAGCTGCTAACAGAACAGCTGCCCGCATGCAAGAACCAAATAGCAGTGACACTCTACACAGCAACTCACACAGACACACAGAATGGTTGAGGTTGGAAGTGACCTCTAGGGATCACCTAGTCCAACCCCCCTGCTCCAGCAGGGACTGCCCATATCATGCACTTCCACAGCAGGGCTACTTGTACTTGCTCTCTCTGTCTTCATTACTTTCTGTCTGGTTCTCTAATTGAGTGGGAACAACCCCACCAGTATTTTTTTCTGTTGTATTCTGTTCACTTGGGGAGAGGTTCAGAGCCACGAACAGGAAGACATAGACATCATATGATTTGTAACAGGATATAACTCCATCCTATGAGATCCCTCTACTTTCAAAACAGAGCTTATATTAAAAAAAATGCATCATGCAGAGAGCAAAGCTCTTGAAGTACTTTTATTTCATACTTTTTTTTTGGTGGAGAAAGCTAGACCTGCAATTGTTTGAGTTCAGTGATGCATTTCAAATTACTGGTTGCTTTGCAGTGTAGGAAGATTCTCACTATACATTTCCTTCTGCATATGAGTGAAGTATGCAATTGTCTGCATTTTGCCTATCCCCCATTACCATTGGTTACAAGGAAAGGAGCTAGAAAGACCACAGAGCTACAGTAATTGAGCTCTTCACCTGACTGTAGTAGTAGAGGGAAAAAAAAATATTTTAACTCTGGAACAAGGATTAGTAGCTTTTATCAACACTACATACAAACTAGGTATAACACAACCTCATCTCTTAAGTACTCAAAATTGTGGTTCTCTCCAATATCTATCTGAACATCAGAACAATATTAAAAGAAGTGCCAAAAAAATCAGTGATATGTAAGGATGGGGTTTGCTAAGTGAGGCTGAAGGAGTCCAAAAGGCACATGAGGGGAAGAAGCCCAGGAGGGCAGAAGCTGCATGCAGGAACCATGGGTGCTCTGTCCTAGCCAGTGTTCCCATGCAGCTTATTTATTTATTTATTTCCCTCCATCTGAAACTGAAAGAAACATCCTCTGACTTCTGCAATATGTAGAGTCAGAAAATGCACCTCAGTGGAAACAAGCTGATTTTTTTCTTTCTTCATAGTAAACATGCTGAAATACATTTTTTTAATACCCACAAACAGGGATTTTTAAATAAACGGATGAAATCAGAATGTTGTTTTTCTCAACATGCCTAACATGGAGAATTGCTTCTATTAAGTGTAAAAATGGCTTTCTTGTGCCTGCTCAAGTCTGTTAATTTTATGCTAAGTACACTAAAATATTTTTAAAACACCCTTCCTTCACCTTTTTTTTGTTTGTTTGTTTGTTTGGTGCTGGATCCAAACGAGTAGAGACTGATGAATGCCAAATCGTTTTCAATGCAAAATGAATGCCAAAGTGTTTTCTTTTGGGATTCATCAAAGGGACTTGAGCATAGGATGAGCATCATATAGGCACATTTCTGTATCTCTGTATATAAGTAACCATGTATATATCCCTTTACTACTCCAACCAGTCAATATTGACGCATCTCTGTAACTTTTTGCAGATAATCTCATTTGAAGTCAACAGCTTGGTCACCAGTTATTTTTAGTATTTCCATTGTTACTTTGCTGTGCCAACCACCACTTCTCACAGGCACTCTGCCCTCTTCTTTCTGTCATACAGTACCAGGAGGGGTTCTAACCATCTCACCACTAACATGCAAGACAGTCTTTAACAACATCTTGTTTGTACTATGTTTTATTTTAAGGAAATCAGGATATTCTTGGTAAGAAGCCTGATTACAACCTTCATCACTACTCTTTTTTTGTTTAATCCTGTTTATGCAACAACGGGATGAAAACGAAATTGCACTAAATCCATAGTTACCTCTTTTCAAAGAGCTGCTATGTAAAGATGAAAACACTTAACAAAAACATTGTGCCAGAGGCAGAAATAATTATTTCTGATCTACCTTCTGGGGAAGCTGAAGAGTTTCAGTCCCACACATCAGTACAAGAGAAAGCACTCATTTAAACATGGTCTTTAATCCACTAGCAGGGAAATGATTCTTCTATCTATTACACCACTCTCACCTAGAAGAAAACAAAAGTATGTATTTTTCTCAATTTAAAAAAATAATTAAGTAAGAAATGTTGGCGCTTACCTGGGAAAGTTTCAAAATTGCTAAAATGTAATTCTATCCAAATTTGTTTCTGAATAATTCCCCTTAGAAAGACAAGACAGAAATCAAAGATTTGTAAAAATATATATATATATTTAAAAGTCTTCCCTCATTTTACATATACAAAAAGCTATGTTTTGAAGCCAAAATCCTAGAAGGTATTCTGGAAAAACTGGCTGCTGAAGCGTTAAGACTTCCATGTGACAACTCCCAATGTCACAGCTCCTGAAGGCCCTGTATTCAAGGACCAAAGGTATCATCCAATTTGAGTAATTCTTTCTGATGACTTTTTAAACGCCATAATCCAGCAGTCTTTCTGACTAGTAAAGAGGCATTTTTTTTTGGCTACAGAGCAAAAGGGTTGGCATGAATTGTGATGTCTTTAATGCGAACATCATTAAGAGGTCGGTAGGTTTTTTCATTCACAGGCAGTTTCTCCAGCTCATCCAGGGTCTCCAAGCCATCAATAACTCTGCAAGAAAAGCAGAACTTTAGGAAGCTCCTTCTAACAAACAATTTAACTTTCACACTTGAGGTTATCTCAAAGCACTTTACAGCAAGTTAAGTACCACCGTGTAAGCACTTGGCAAGCAAATGATAAAAATAAGGAAGACAAAACCTTGCATATAGTATTATAACCTATACTGAAAGAGAATTTTAGGCATCCATGACAGATTCTGATAAGCCATAAAAGTAATTCCCACCAACAGTATCATGTTTTATACAAAACACAGCGATAAAGACCACCTCCTGGCAGGCATGACTGAATGCTCACAGTATATGTTTAACTAGAAGCAAGATATTGGTTATACCAGACTTCACAGTGAACTACTGAAATCTCAGAGCTGGAAAATCAGGTTCCAAATGTAAGATTATAATTACTAACCTTCTACTCAAAGGCAAGATTGGATTGACCACTAGTAACTGTGTACATCTAATGGAACAAATGCACTTACGCTTTCTGACTCCTGTTCAGGCTGAAGAAGTGGCAAGAGAAATTATTCTAATAAATTCCTTAAATTTTCCATTTAAATAATTAGTTCTGCTAAATTTTAACAGTTTAGTAACCCGGTAACAGACTTGGCAGAACACATGACATGTCATTACCATTCAATTCACTCTCACATTCATCAATTTTTTTGAATCTCGGATGCTGGACTATGGCTGAAACATGAATGAGCGTTCTGCTCAGCTGATTTTGCAACTACAACAAGTTATCTTCAACTGCCACAAAAAAATCTAGCAGAGTTCACGTATCAGAGCCCCTGCTATTTTGTGGGAAGAGAGACATACAAAAAAACTGCTTCAAATCACACTTAAACAGAGATGAAAGAACACTATGCTCGCATGCTCATAAACAATACAAATTGGTAAAAATGCAATTTTCAATTTTCACTAGTTACTTTGAACTTTCAACTCTATTTGATGAACAAAAACTGCCTTCATCAGATTCACTTGTACACAAGAGGCCTTTCAGCAACAAGCAAAAGAAAAGCCATTACCATGACTTCAAGATAGAAAAACAGAATCAAGCATGGTGTTGGTTTTTTTGTTTTGTTTTTTTTGTACCAGCTATTTCAGCTTGCTTTCCTGTCCATGCCCAAATGGACAGCAAGCTAGAATAGCTAGTACAGAAAAAAAAAAAAAAAAAAAAAAAAAAAAAAAACACAGCTCCATCCTTGATACTATTTTTAAATGCCTATTTCCACTAAATTTCCTATGCCTAATTAAAAGAAATGGAGCAGTACTTTGGGTCAACTAATTCTGGTGACAGTGCAAGACCATACATCTATATATACAGTCACAATTTTCAAGACTTTTGCCATAAAAGTTTCTAAATTTGCATTGCATGTGCCCCGAAATATTCAGATCCTTCCCATGCTCTGAAAGAGGCAACATCTGGATCTCACTCACTTCCCAAACACAGTGTACTTCATATCCAGGTGTGGTTGCTTGGCATAAGTGATGAAGAACTGTGATCCATTGGTATTCGGACCATTGTTTGCCATTGAAACAACTCCACGGACACTGTGCTAAAAGAAGGAAAACAAAACCCCTGAGCATTGAATATATATCTGTGAAAGCAGGATTTCAAACGTACAAAATGATTAATGACTTAGTACTCCAATATCATTAGTAAAAACAAATCTTTGCTGCTATCACCACCCATAATTCTCTCCTCAAATCTGCTCTTATAATTCAAAATGACCTTTTTATCCTCGGTGAATTAAAAAAAAAAATCTTACGTTCTTACTTCTGTTCTCAGTGCTGAGAACCCTCAAATCTAACTTGTAAAGTACAGAAATGCCTGTTCCTATTTCAACAGCAAGCTTTAATAACATATCTAACTGTGGGCTTATGCCTTATTTCACAGTCACAAGACAGGTATTTAATCTAGTGCAACACAACATTGGTCATTTTCCCACCGTTAAGGAAATTGTATGTGAAACATAACAGTATACTGAAAACACACCAATACCTTCAGGTATTCACTGAATTCATCTTCAAACTTCCTGCCCCAGATGCTGGTACCTCCCTTTCCAGTGCCTGCCAAAGGAGGACCACAACAGATGATTGGATTCTCACGACTGAAAAATTCAGAAATGATGTATTGTTCTAACATGTTACGGCAAACACACTATAGAAGGACTAATAGATTGCTTAAAGCAGGGATAAATTTCTCATGTTTCATTACTGAGTAGAACACTAGCTCAATAATATAAATGACTATTAAGCAGCACAAAGTGCTGAGATATTTGCACTCGTTCTGAATTGTATATGGGAATAAGTGCACAGGTGAATCATCTATTTCTCCCAAATAGCTGACACTGTCTAGGCATTTCCCAAAACACTAAAGAGAATTTTTAGAAGCACTGGAAGCTTTCAGGAAGAAACCAGAGTAGCAACTATTGCCTGTGCAAGTACTGGTAAGTCAGCAGAACCATTATATTCAGTGAAAACAGCTGGAAAAATTAAAGTCTGTACAATACTTTTCCACTGCATGGTTATTTAGAGCTAAGATAATGGCTGCTCTTCTGTAAACTCATGACAGAAAACTAGGTACATCACACAACCCTGTCAACAATAATGTTTGTTTCATATATTTCTCTATATACAGACCCTGACAGAAGGATTTACCTAATGGATCCCCTGTCTGAACCATGAAGCCCTTTATATTCCGGTGAAATACGCAGCCACTGTAGTAGTTACTAGCACAAAGCGCCAGGAAATTCTAAGGAAATGAAACACAGCATATTAACAAGCAACTCTGAAATAATATCCTATGTAGCTAAAATCACAGCACTGGCAAGACTAGCTCTGAGTCTGCTTTGCACTGTGAGCATGTCACAGCATTAGTCAACTGTCCCAGACTATTGTTGGCTATTAAAAGATACAAATAACCCTCAGGCATTTTCCATCCATTTTCAGGGTCATTACTACAGTTTTGCTGTTTTGTTGTTCTTGTTTTCTTTTAAATACCAAATCCAGAATGTTCCAGAAAAATCAACAAAGCAACACAGAAGCTGCCTACACAGAGCACCATAGGGAAGATGGCTCTGATGAGGGGTGGGTCATAAATATTCTCTTTCGATTCAGTACAAGAACATTCGTCTTTTTTGAAGGACCTCTATACCATAGATAACTGATGGTGCACTACTTGGATAAGGGCAAGTATTGTTCACCATTTTGCAAGGAAAACTCCCTTTGAGATAAATTTCAGTGAAATAGTGAATGTAAGTTTGGGCTGCTCAGAATGTGCAAGATGAAAGTTTTGCAGCTGAAACTAGGGATTTTGAACTAAAATACTCTTTAACTTACTTTAGTCTCCTGAAACTATAATTAAAACATCATGTGTGGCATCTATAACCAAAACAGAAATGGCTGTAAAAAAAAAAAAAATAGAAAAGTCTTGTATAGCCTGCTGTTTCAAGAGATCACAGTTTGTGTTTACAGCTCCTGTTTTCTTGGTTTCCTACACATGGTGACTCTGATAGTTTGAAGAATCAGTATTCAGTGAATCCCATTGACACACAGGATAGTCATTCTCAGATTATGGTTAAGATGCTCCTTTGACACAGTCACAGATGCAAAGGATATTATACAGAACTTACTGCAGAAGATTCTCTGACTTGAAGAACAAACACAAGGATTCTTAAGACATACTCAGAAGTATCACTTGCATTCACAATGCACTCAGCACAATTAGTTAAAAATTGACTTCAATTTAAGCTTTATTGCACAAAGCAGAACTGGCGTCTCTAACAGACTAGGAGTTCTTTTCAAAAAGCTAAGTGGTATGAGTATGGGCAAACCAAAGGAAGTTTGGGAATCCCAGGACAAAGTCCCATGTTTCCTGCTAAGGACAAAGGACCTTTTGGGCGATAACTCAGAGAGAAGAGGCCGTTAGCTAAACCTTATCTGAAATAAATAGGCAGCAAAACTGTGGACAGTACAATGCAGCATGCAACAAATTCCTCAAGTTGATGAGGCACTATAGCAGCTTAAAATGCAAATATTCCATGATATGAAACAATGAATTGCAACATACATTTTACCTCCTCTATGATCTTCACTACTCCTACTGCTCTGCTTCAACACTAATAATCCTACTTGTTACATGACTTACCTCACAAGTTTTTGGTGTTCGCTCACAGAATAGTTCTATTTTAATATCTCCTACATCAGTGTGCAGCGTGACAGCCTGAGCAAGAGCAGAATATAATATCTTTATTGTAATATCTTTTATCTTTATTTCCTTATTGTTAAACTTTTCAAAGCCTTTTCAAAGCCTACAGCTGTAGAAGCTTACATACATTCAGAGCTATGCGCTCACAACCTGAGCAATGCACCTGTAGTAGAAAGCAAACTAGATGACCCGATATTAGTCAAATTAGGATTCAAGTTTAATGTCTTAAGACACCATGAAAAGGAGAATATGTTGGTGCTAGTAGTTCATTGATCTAAAAACACAATAAGACTTTTATATTTGTGTAGAAATCTTTGAAATGGAAAGCAGAGCTTTTCATTGCAAAGCCTTCACAATTTCAGAGTAAAACACATAATCACTGAGATGCAGAACAGCTATTCACTTTCAAAAGATGATTTTCAAAAATCAGTATATAAAAATTACTACTGATCTCACCATGTTTGCTCATCAAAAAGCTGAGGTAGATTTGTCTATAGCAGGTTCCTGGAGGAAGAAAAAAAAAGGGGGGGGGCAAAAAAATCTGTTATTTCTTTCCATAGTCCCAAGTACTTTACAATCCTAAGATATATGCACGGTTAATGAAATTACGAGCTTCTTAGTAAGGTTTTGCAGCATTATTCAAGCCACACTCTGTGGATAAACAGTTTATTTGCATTACATAGCTAGCCAGCATGTAAAGAAATAGAGGTAGGTAGAATAAACAGTTCAGAAAATGACATGGGCAAAAAACCCAGTCTATCCTGAAATAAGAGCTTTTACTAAGCAATAATATTTTTTCTAGAGCTTATGGTTACACACATCACACAGGTTAACTGATTAAAAAAA